AGGCCGTCACATATGATTTGGTATGAGTTAGGAGTGTTAGCCCACTATTTAGCTGACCATTAGTACTGATGTATAGCTTCTGTTTCTAATCTCATCAGTAGTTTACTTTTGTCTGTAGTGTTAGAAATACTGTAAAAAGCCATGACATGAGTGGAGATAAAACAAACACTTTTGCCTTTTCTGGCGATCAATACTCGCACTACTTGTAGTACGAGTCGTTTGACTGTGATTTTCAAACACAACGACCGTATCATTTGGCGTCAAATTTAATGGCAAAATCTTGCGCTTGTTTTACATGTGCTATAAGTTATACACAAAACTGATTTGTGATTTGAGAGCAACAAATTAACTCCTTTTTCTTATGAATGAATCAATATTTTTTTCCATTGCATTAAATGTCATGAATTGGGATAACTTGTAAACATAAGCTATATATAGAAATAGATGGCAATCAGAAGTATTATTTTATTTAGCTAATAAATCTCATACAATAAATACAGAAATTAAATTATTTTAACCAAATACTGTAATATAATTACAAGAATGCAATTTAATGACAATAACCCCAATTGTCGGCCCATTAGGTCGTTCCCATTGGTATGAGTCGGCAAAGGCTACATTCCTAAGGAACAGTAGGGAAGGAGGGGATGACAGCGACGGCAAGAATCNATTGGTATGAGTCGGCAAAGGCTACATTCCTAAGGAACAGTAGGGAAGGAGGGGATGACAGCGACGGCAAGAATCGGGTGACAACTGCCGCCAAAAACGTGATTCTCTTCATTGGCGACGGAATGGGTATAACGACAGTGACTGCCGCGAGGATTATGAAGGGACAGCTGTTAGGGCTGAGCGGTGAAGAACATCAGCTTTCCTTTGACCACTTCCCCAATATTGCCCTCTCAAAGGTATTCATTGATTAACACGACAGTCCCCTCTAATTATTGTAATTAAATTAATATTACATATTAAATAAATTTTAATATTATTAATCAAAATATTTTTTAATTCATTTGGCAAATAACAAATATTTCAATGCCATTAACAAGTTTTAAAATGAGTTAAATTTAACAAGTTAAATTCATATTGTAAACCAGAATATAAATGAAAATTAAGAATTAAGTGATAAGAGAGCAAAAAGACCTGGAGTTCAATCAAATTCACTAAATTAAGAGAGATGTCATGAATTATAAATGAATTTGAAATAACAGTAGATAACAAAGTCTGCAGACAAACACTTTAGCGAAAGTAATATAAATTGTATATCAGTTTCTCAATCAATAATTTAATGGTATTTTCCTTTTATTACGCGAAGAGAAAGTAATTTAATAAGAATCACAACATTATAACCGATACAGACGTATAACATCAACAGCCAAGTGGGCGACTCGGGTGCCTGTGCCACAGCACTGCTCAATGGCGTTAAGGCCAGGTATGAGACCATCGGTTTGGACGAGAATGGCTTCTTCGAGGACTGCCAGTCGACGTTCACATCGAGCGTCGAAAGCATTGCTAATTGGGCTCAGGATGAGGGTGAGGGTGAACACCAACTTTCATATCAAATTTTTATTATACATTCACATAATCTCATTAAATGTCTAAAAGTGCACAAAATGTCTAGTAAATGAATTATGAGACACCGTATTACCTGTTCGTATAAATAAATGATTTCCAATAAGAAATAAAAATCGGATCAAAAGTCAATTCAAGTCAAATACAGGATAACTACAGAACAGAGACTCATTAATGGAAAGTAGTATTCCTTATGTCTAAATATTAAATAAATTATAAATAGACCCAAATGCAGATATCTTTATTAAATTATGCACTTTTTCAAGATCTCTGTGCAGTTAATTGAATTTATTATTCTTTTGGAAACCTAGAAATATAGTACAGTATTGTGTAAATATATAATATACTGTAGATGTTATTATGTATTTTTACAGTACAGCAAATACTCGGGTGCCTGTGCCACAGCACTGCTCAATGGCGTTAAGGCCAGGTATGAGACCATCGGTTTGGACGAGAATGGCTTCTTCGAGGACTGCCAGTCGACGTTCACATCGAGCGTCGAAAGCATTGCTTTTTTCAAGATCTCTGTGCAGTTAATTGAATTTATTATTCTTTTGGAAACCTAGAAATATAGTACAGTATTGTGTAAATATATAATATACTGTAGATGTTATTATGTATTTTTACAGTACAGCAAATTCTGTAATTTGTGGAGTTTTCTGTATTTACATTATAGTATTCTGTCAATTATGCATTATACATAAATAGGATTCTGTTATTAAGTATTTCTCAACATTAAACTGATTACACCCTAATAATACTTTTTGGAGTAAATCTTGAAAATTAGACAATTCTTGAGTGTTATATAAATCTAGAGTTTGAGTCAATTCAACAATTATTATAAGGTTTGAGTTTGTGTGCAAAATAGCTTATTAACATACCAATTGTTGTATAACTCAATTTATGCATAAAATGTTGAAATCATTTGTGAATTTATCAAAGCATGTGAATATTTTTACGGTCAATGTAATATAAATTAGTGTATGGTTTTCAATAACTTAACAAATTATTAAAAATTCCTAAATATTCTGAATGCGAGCTTTTTTATGAAAATAATTTAATTAACAAAATGCTAATAATATAATACAGTATGAGAAGCAATGTTAAGAATCATTTTTAATATCAAATTCTTTTATAAGTTTTTGAAAAACAATAATTTAAAATGAATTTCAATTATTTTCTCTTAGGATATGAAGATATAATATTAATAGTTCCTTGTTAATAATAAACTTATAACTTTCAAACAAACTAACAGTTGATAAATGAAAATTTTAAAACAGTTGTAAACAAAATGTTAATTAAGTTTTGCGACAGAAAAATAAGTAAATATGATAAACAAACAAATATGAATTATGAAAACTATTTTAGGCAAATCGACGGGAGTGGTGACAACCACTCGTGTAACACATGCCACCCCTGCGGCCCTGTATTCGCACAGCGCCAGCAGATACTGGGAAAGTGATGACAAAGTGCCCCAAAACGCTAAAATGTGTAAAGATATCGCGAGACAACTCATAGAGAATAGTCCGGGAAAAGGTCTAAATGTAAGTAATCTCTTGGTAATGATCTTGGTCTCAATGGTAATGATCACACGATTCGCTAATTCTTTAAGAATTGTCTACTAATATGAATGCAATAAACCCTAATTGCCTTTGAATTGACTGTCATTTCACTAACATTGGTGTCATATGTGTAACCCTGAGGTGATTCTGGGCGGCGGGAGAAGACATTTCTTAAACGCCACCGAAAGGGATCCCCAACGACCTAATGAGTTCGGGCGCCGACACGACGGACGCAATCTCATCGACGAGTGGCTGAAGGGTAAGAAGGATACGGGTGTTGAGGCTCAATATGTCAAGAATAAGGCAGAGTTGGAGCGCCTGAACACTTCGCGCATCGATTATCTGTTGGGTCTGTAAATGAATACAAAATATCTGCGAAATATATTTCCGATAACTAATGAATGTATTGATTGATCGATAGGTCTCTTCAGTGGCAACCATATGGCGCACGAACTGGACCGGGAGGACGGGCCCAGCGGTGAGCCGTCGTTGGCAGAGATGACGACCAAAGCCATAGAGATCTTGCGGCATAACCCTCACGGCTATGTATTGGTGGTGGAGAGCGGCCGTATAGATCACGCCCATCACCTCAATAACGCTAAGCGAGCCCTCGTCGACACTCTAGCCTTAGATGAGGCCATTTCGGCGGCCGTTAAGTCGACTCAGGCGTCAAACACGCTATTAGTGGTCACATCAGATCACTCACACGTCTTCACATTTGGAGGATTTCCAAAGAGAGGAAACCATATATTAGGCGCTGACAGCAAGGTCTCTGATGTCGATTCCCTCCCATACACAACACTGCTCTATGCTAATGGTCCCGGATATATGAGAAAACGCATCAATATAGCCACAATCGACACCAGTAAGTGCTCGAGTAATACAGCTATCATTTGCACACATCTTATAATCCATTTATCCATTCGTTAATCTAATGAAACACTTCTGTATATCATTTATTTGCGTCAATTCATAATACAATTAATGAATTCTCACTTGAAAATGATGTTTTAATTTTTATGATGATTAAATTTGTCATTATGCTATTTATTTACTTCTCGTACATAAAAAGTAAATATTTAAATTATATCAATTAAAAATAATTAATTTTCAAATTACTAGTAATACAGATGATATGATTAATGAATTAATGTTTATTTAATGTGAAAATAATTTACAACTGCATAATTTTTTACAGTACAGCAAATTCTGTAATTTGTGGAGTTTTCTGTATTTACATTATAGTATTCTGTCAATTATGCATTATACATAAATAGGATTCTGTTATTAAGTATTTCTCAACATTAAACTGATTATACCCTAATAATACTTTTTGGAGTAAATCTTGAAAATTAGACAATTCTTGAGTGTTATATAAATCTAGAGTTTGAGTCAATTCAACAATTATTATAAAGTTTGAGTTTGTGTACAAAATAGCTTATTAACATACCAATTGTTGTATAACTAAATTTATGCATAAAATGTTGAAATCATTTGTGAGTTTATCAAAGCATGTGAATATTTTTACGGTCAATATAATATAAATTAGTGTATGGTTTTAAATAACTTAACAAATTTGTAAGAATTCCTAAATATTTTGAATGCGAGCTTTTTTATGAAAATAAATTTAATTAACAAAATGCTAATAATATAATACAGTATGAGAAGCAATGTTAAGAATGATTTTTAATATCAAATTCTTTATAAGTTTTTGAAAAACAATAATTTAAAATGAATTTCAATTATTTTCTCTGAGGATATGAAGATATAATATTAATAGTTCCTTGTTAATAATAAATTTATAACTTTCAAACAAACTAACAGTTGATAAATGAAAATTTTAAAACAGTTGTAAACAAAATGTTAATTAAGTTTTGCGACAGAAAAATAAGTAAATATGATAAACAAAGAAATATTAATTATGAAAACTATTTTAGGCAAATCGACGGGAGTGGTGACAACCACTCGTGTAACACATGCCACCCCTGCGGCCCTGTATTCGCACAGCGCCAGCAGATACTGGGAAAGTGATGACAAAGTGCCCCAAAACGCTAAGATGTGTAAAGATATCGCGAGACAACTCATAGAGAATAGTCCGGGAAAGGGTCTCAATGTAAGTAATCTCTTATTTACTGGCAATCATCACACGATTCGCTAATTCTTCAAGAATTGTCTACTAATATGAATGCAATAAACCCTAATTGCCTTTGAATTGGCTGTCATTTCACTAACATTGGTGTCATATGTGTAACCCTGAGGTGATTCTGGGCGGCGGGAGAAGACATTTCTTAAACGCCACCGAAAGGGATCCCCAAAGACCTAATGAGTTCGGGCGCCGACACGACGGACGCAATCTCATCGACGAGTGGCTGAAGGATAAGAAGGATACGGGTGTTGAGGCTCAATATGTCAAGAATAAGGCAGAGTTGGAGCGCCTGAACACTTCGCGCATCGATTATCTGTTGGGTCTGTAAATGAATAGAAAATATCTGCGAAATATATTTCCGATAACTAATGAATGTATTGATTGATAGGTCTCTTCAGTGGCAACCATATGGCGCACGAACTGGACCGGGAGGACGGGCCCAGCGGTGAGCCGTCGTTGGCAGAGATGACGACGAAAGCCATAGAGATCTTGCGGCACAACCCTCACGGCTATGTATTGGTGGTGGAGAGCGGCCGTATAGATCACGCCCATCACCTCAATAACGCCAAGCGAGCCCTTGTCGACACTCTAGCCTTAGATGAAGCCATTTCGGCGGCCATTAAGTCGACTCAGGCGTCAAACACGCTATTAGTGGTCACATCAGATCACTCACACGTCTTCACATTTGGAGGATTTCCAAAGAGAGGAAACCATATATTAGGCGCTGACAGCAAGGTCTCTGATGTCGATTCCCTCCCATACACAACACTACTCTATGCTAATGGTCCCGGATATATGAGAAAACGCATAAATATAGCCACAATCGACACCAGTAAGTGCTCGAGTAATACAGCTATCATTTGCACACATCTTATAATCCATTTATCCATTCGTTGATCTAATGAAACACTTCTGTATATCATTTATTTGCGTCAATTCATAATACAATTAATGAATTCTCACTTGAAAATGATGTTTTAATTTTTATGATGATTAAAGTCATTATGCTATTTATTTACTTCTCATACATAAAAAGTAAATATTTAAATTATATCAATTAAAAATAATTAATTTTCAAATTACTAGTAATACAGATGATATGATTAATGAATTAATGTTTATTTAATGTGAAAATAATTTACAACTGCATAA